CATCCGGCCTATTTGCCATTGCATTATGTGGTATTGTTCCCTTATGGTGAGCTAGGATGGAATCCAGATTTGAAACAGTGGAACACTTCCCAAGGTGGACCTTCATCTACTCGACTGACACAGTTGCAATATTACAGTTATCGTATGTTCCAACGTGACATTGAGTATTCAACGATTTTGAGAGCTGGAAAATTATTTCAAGAATTTGTGGTAGATGCTTGGGCCGCTACTGAACAAAATCGGTTGACATACTACAAATTGAATCAATCAAAGCTTCGTGCAGAACTTTACCAAGGTCTTACAGATGTTTGTGCAGATGAGCTTGGTCCTGAACAAGTTGGTCAACGAATGGTTTTGCCATCTTCATTCACTGGTAGTGCAAGACATATGTTTGAAATTTTTCAAGATTCAATGGCTATCACGCGGTATAATCAACACCCTGATATTTTTTTAACTATGACTGCAAATCCCAAATGGCCTGAAATTACTAATTCCCTATTGCCAAATCAGATCCCTACTGACCGTCCTGATTTAGTGGCCCGTGTTTTTGAGTTGAAGAGAAATTTTTTGATGAAGGAGATAGAAACAAATAACGTCTTTGGTAGAAAAGTGGCACATGTTTTTACAATTGAATTCCAAAAAAGGGGGTTACCGCACATGCATGCACTTTTGTTCCTTCATGGTTCTGATAAAATCCAAACATGTGCTCAAGTGGACAGAGTAGTGTGTGCTGAATTTCCGGATTGTCAAACTGACCCATTGCTTTTTGAAACAATCATAGGTTGCATGGTACACGGACCATGTGGTGCTCGAAATCCACAAGCATCATGTATGGAAAATGGGGTATGTACCAAGCGGTACCCTCGGTCATTTGTTGAATCAACAAGTATGGACTCTGATGGATATCCTGTCTATCGTCGTCGTAATACTGGTCAGAAGTACATCGTGAGGGGACAAGAAATTGATAATAGAGATGTTGTGCCACATAATCCGTACTTATCAAGAATGTTCAACTGTCATATCAATGTTGAAGTTTGTGCAGGAATCAGATGTGTAAAATACATTCACAAGTATATTTATAAAGGACATGATCGCGCAACAATGGTACTTGGAGGAATTAATGAGATCCAACAATATCTTGATGCTAGGTATATTGGACCTCCAGAAGCTGCGTGGCGATTATTTGGTAATCCTTTACATGAAGAGATTCCGTCGGTTGTAAGATTGGCACTTCATTTGCCTGGGATGCATCGTGTGGTCTTTAACCCTGCTGAATCTTTTGATACGATCCTTTCTAAAGGTGCACATCAAGAAACAACTCTAACTGGTTTTTTTGATTGTTGCGCTGCAAATGAATCTGCACGTGTATTAACTTATCAGGAATTTCCACAAAAATTTGTTTGGAACAAGTCTATCAATAAATGGACTCCAAGACAAAGGGGTTATGCAATTGGTAGAATGTACTTTGCTAGCCCTAATTCAGGTGAGCGGTTTTATTTACGTTTGCTTCTAACTGTTGTCAGAGGACCTACTTCATTTGACTGGCTACGCACGGTAAATAATGTTATGCATGATACATTCAAGTCAGCATGTGTTGCAAGAGGACTTCTTGAAGATGATGAAGAATGGATACAATGTCTTCAAGAGGCTGCAATTATGAGAACGGGGTACCAATTAAGAAGATTATTTGCCATAATTCTAACGGAATGCTTTCCATTGCATCCATTTGCATTGTGGAAGCAATTCTCAGCACATATATGTGATGATTTAGCACACAAGATTCGTACTATGTTTGGTATTTTGAATCCAACTAATGATCATATTGAAGATTATGGCTTATATTTGATTAATCAATTGCTCCATGAGTCGGGGAAGAGTTTAGTTGACTTTCCACCCATGCCACAATCAATTGGAAATTGGAATGCAACAGTTAGAAATAGATTATTGTTTGAGCATCACCAACTTCAGAATGAAGCACAACAGTCTGATGCACAAATTAATGTTGACGGTCTTAATGATGCACAACTTGCTGCTTATACTGCCGTCACAACGTCAGTATGTGAAAACATAGCAACTACTTTTTTTTTGAGTGGAGGTGCTGGGACGGGAAAAACGTTTTTGTACAATACCATTGCAACCAAATTGCGTAGTTATGGACATGTTGTTGTTACTGTGGCTTCATCTGGTATTGCATCGTTGTTATTGGTAGGGGGGCGCACTGCACATTCTACATTTTGTATTCCTTTGGAAACCCTAGACAATTCAATATGTGGGTTCACTAAACAATCAATGCATGCCGAATTGTTTAGAAAAACAAAGTTGATAATATGGGATGAAGTTCCTATGCAGCATCGATACTGTGTTGAGGCAGTCGATCGCACCCTTCAAGATATCAGAGACGATAAAAGACCTTTTGGGGGTATCACTGTTGTCCTGGGTGGAGACTTTCGACAAATATTGCCTGTTATTCCTAAAGGCGTTCGTGAGCAAATTGTGGGTGCATCATTGAGACGGTCTTTGCTATGGAAAGATATATGTGTTTTGACTCTAGGTTTAAACATGCGATTAACTCGCACCGACGTTCGAAATACTAATTTTGCTAAATTCTTGATGGAGGTAATATTTCATTCCACCTTGAATTGTTGAATTTTTTAACATGATGCTTTGAATTAAATCTCACTTTGTGACTAATTATACTCTCATTTTTTAGATTGGGACCAATCCACGTGAAATTGTGCAACTTCCATCTACAATAAACCGGTGTCACAATCTAAATGAATTGATATTTAAAATCTATCCACAATTGGATGTGATTGGTATAGTGACTCCAACCTTTCTCACTGAACGCACAATTCTCTCTGCGCGTAATGACGACGTCAGTGATATAAATGCTGCAGCACTGAATATTACTCCGGGAGAGACAATTACTTTTTTAGCTGCAGATAAAATGTTTGAAGGTGATGAGCTTGACCGTACCATTAGGAATCGATATCCTAATGAGTACTTAAACTCGCTGAATCCTTCAGGGTTGCCACCGTTTAAATTGGAGTTGAAAGTTGGATGCCCAATAATGTTGTTACGAAATATTGCACCAAAGGATGGACTTTGTAATGGCACGCGATTGATGGTTGTTAGATGTGCCTCAAGGGTAATCGAAGCTCAGATATTAAATGGAGATAAAATTGGCAATTTAGTCTTCATTCCGAGAATATCAATGACACCAACATCTTTGGACTTGCCTTTTCGAATGACAAGACGTCAGTTTCCTGTCCGATTAACTTATGCTATGACAATCAATAAAGCCCAAGGACAATCTGTGAAGTTCGTTGGGATTGATTTGCGGACACCTGTTTTTAGTCATGGACACCTTTATGTGGCACTATCTAGATGCACATCTTCAGATCGTATTACAGTCCTCCTTCCAGAAGATGGGTCGAATTGCACTACAAATATTGTTTACCCAGAAGTTTTGTTATAAGATTCTTACGACAAGTAAATGGTATAGTTTAAACAAATTTATTTTTACTGAATTATGTAATCTTTTCATCATTTCAACTTTTAGTTTTACAATGAGATTCATTCTTTATAGGATTGGAGTGAATTTGTCAACGAGAACGATAGTGTATATACAATGGACCTTTGTGGATGGGGCCGACGTAATCAGGTAAATCTACTTTATGTCACTGTATTAAAATAACTTTACTATTCCTACAATATAAATATTGTGTTACTTTTATTGTTTATGTGAATAATTAGGTGGTTGTGCATTCTCCTCATTGGGCAAAGTGCGTTCGTATTGATACGAGGACATTAAGGATAGTGATGAAGAGAAGGTTTAAAGGGATGAATAAGACATTTAAGAGAGTTAAATGATATGCAATCCATTACCGACCTGTCCACCTTTGACGATGACTAACTCATCACTGACCAAACAATTGTTTAGGTATGAAAATCTCTCTTACTAAGACTCTATATTTCTCTATTCTCATGTAGACACACAACACACAATACATGCACAAACACAAACACATAACTGTAACCAATCAAACACTCGCAAATCAAACTCACACACCATTATATTGTCACTAATACAGATTTATGATTGAAATCATTAAGCAAATGAACCGTCTGTTGAAATGATACTAAGAAAATCTTATTTGATTGTAAGTCTCTACATTCCTCCATATATTTTCCTAAATAAATTGATAATTTGTTACAAACTCTCTAAATTCTTACTTATATCAATCTAAATCATTCCAGGGTAATGTAATTAATTTTATTGAATCCAACTAACGAAAAAAGTAAGGGGTCTTATGTTTCGGATTTACAATTGTTTTATTTTAACTCACTTATTTCGATAATTTTTATATTTCAAATATTTTCAGGTATACATTGAAGGATACTTGGTATAAGTTGTAAAGAATATGAAGTTGTTTCTTTATTTTGTGTATGTGTGTATTTTTTGTGTTCCGTCTTTTGTAAAGTTAACTAATTATACATAATTATGATGATTTTGGGTATGGAATGATGGTTGTTTTGGTGGTTTGGGTATGTAGTGATGATTGTAAGTTTTGTAGACAGGTTTATATTTTTCTGTATAAATTTCTTGAAATTAGTAGGGATTAACTTGATGTTTTGGTGGTTGGATATGTGTTGATGATTGAATATGTATTAATTTTGGTGGTTCTAATTTTTCGTTACGCCGTGCCTTCAGGCACGGGCAATTACTAGTTCAATTCAATTCAAATCAGAGTTTCCCCATTTCTTTTCCATTATTTATTTATTGAAATAAAATATAAATAATTAATTTAAAATTCCACTCACCGCCATGACTTTGAAATTCCTTTGTTCTTCGTTCTTCGCTTTGCGCACGCGTTTCCTCTGTTCATGTCCCCTAAACCCTCACTATAAATACCTCTTTCCGTCTCTCTTCTCTTTTCCAAACTGAAACCACAAAACGTTTACACACACAGATATCCATATCCATTACCCACCAGAAAATGGTCGATTTAGACTGGAAATCTAAGATGGTGTCCTCCGATATACCTAGTAAATCGCCGAAACTCTCGAATAAACTCAAGATTTCGATACCACCACCGGCTAGAACCGGCGATTTAGCGCCGGCTTCTGAGGCTGCTTGTTCGGCTTACGAGCACTACCTTCGACTTCCGGAGCTGAAGAGGCTTTGGGGTTCGAAGGAGTTTCCGAATTGGAAAAATGAGTCTGTTCTTAAACCGGCTTTGCAGGCTTTGGAAATTACGTTCCGGTTCGTTTCGACCGTTTTGTCCGACCCTAGACCGTATGCGAATCGGAGGGAATGGAGGAGAAGGCTCGAGTCTCTAAGCATGAGTCAGATTGAACTCATAGCGATGTTATGTGAAGATGAAGAAGAGGATAGCGAGGCACGTGGCACAGCCCCAATCGTTGATTTGACATCATCCGATGGTGTATTGTCTCGCGAAAACAGCTCGGCGGAAGTCTGGAAGCTCGCCGGAGATGCGACGGTGGTGAGTCGAACCAGCGAAGCTAGCTTGCTTCCACGGCTGGCCTCGTGGAAGAAATCGGAGGATATTGCAGAGAAGATTTTGTACTGCATCGAGTGCGAGATGAGGAGGTGTCCGTACACCCTAGGTTTGGGCGAGCCAAACCTCGCCGGAAAACCTAGCTTGGACTATGATCTGGTCTGCAAGCCGACGGAACTTCGTTCTCTGAAGAAAAGCCCCTCCGATCAAGCAAATTTGGATAATTTCGAAAATCAAACTCTCTACACGACGCACCAGATCTTAGAATCATGGATCTATGTTGCTCAACAGCTCCTGAATCGCATCACAGACCGAATCGATCGCAAGGACATCGACAAAGCATCAAGTGATTGCTGGTTAGTGGAGAAGATATGGAAACTCTTAGCAGAAATCGAAGATCTACATTTACTAATGGATCCGGACGATTTTCTCCGATTGAAAAACCAGCTCTCGATTAAAGCATCGACGGCGTCCGAATCATTCTGTTTCCGATCAAGATTGCTCATCGAGATCACGAAGCTCTCGAAGGACTTGAAGCACAAAGTTCCGAACATCCTTGACGTTGAAGTGGACCCAAAAGGAGGTCCAAGAATACTAGAAACCACCATGAATCTGTACATGAAAAAGGAGGGTTTTGACAGGATTCATCTTCTTCAAGGCTTGCAGGCCATCGAAGCGGCGTTAAAGAGGTTTTACTATTCGTATAAGCAACTGATTGCGATTGTGATGGGGTCTTTGGAAGCTAAAGGTAATGGAGGTTTTGCGACGGCGGAGGATTCGTTGGGGCAGATCTTTCTTGAGCCGACGTATTTTCCAAGCCTTGACGGAGCCAAGACGTTTCTGGGGGATTACTGGAGCCATGAACGTGGAAGGTACAGTCCGGAGAGACGAACTCGGAGGAAGAAATGAGGGGAAACCTGGGTTGACTCGGTGTCTGACTCTAGGTTGAATGGATTGAATTGACTCGGTCAGGTTGAGTTGATGAGGTTTGAAGGGGATAATTAATTTGTTAATTAGAACAGGTTGGGTTGACTCGGTTGGGTTGGGATTGTTTAGAATTAAAAAGACAGGTCATATTATTATTTTCTTCTGGTGATAGAATTTGAATTTGGTCCTGTTGTAAAATTTTGCCATATTATTCTTATGAATTATTTTTAATTCTTTTATATTTTAGGTTAATTGTATTGATGGTCCACAAAGTAAAGAATTTGTTTTATTTTATTTTTTAATATTATAATTATATTATTTTAATCGCTAAAGTATTAAATATATTTTTATGTAATCATTCGAACAGACAATATTCAAATTACTAATAATTTTTTATCATAAATTTGTCACGTGATACCTAAATATGACTAAAAATAATTTGGTTAGTTCGTGAACAAAATTTGGGTAATTTTGTTATCAAGTTATCAAGCTAAGCCCACAGGGTTATCAAGTTAGTAACACATAAAGTAGTAGCAGTACAATTTTTTGGTGTTTTGGTACAGGGGAAAAGGAATTTTTTTTTAATTTTTTAATTTTGAACTGGTTAAGGAATATTGAAACAGCGTAGCAGTAGCATTCTCTTGTGTTTGTTGACAAGAAAGGTGGGTGACTTCGCCGAGTCTTGAAGCGTGGTGCAGCATGCAATTTTTTTCTGCCTTTTTCTCTCTCTCCTGCTACTACTTTGCATGCCCATTTGCTTGGTCATCGTTACACTTGATCGCAGATCGAACTTTTCCTTCACCGGAATCATAGTCCGACGACTTCTCCTTCTTGATTTCATATAAAAGATTCAAACTTTTGGCAACTCACATGTCTTGTCTGCAGATGCAGCAAAACACTTGTCTTCTCTTCCTCGGATTAACAAACATACAGAGAAATATGTTATTCATAGCTTTATAAGGCTTAAGGTTGGTTGTATTTCTAACCTTAATCTATCTTTGATGCTGTTCTATTGTTCGACCAGCTGTTGTACTGTGCGCTCTTATTTTAATATTTGGAAATGTTAAAAGGAATAATACTTGGTAGGGTTTTAGGGCTTTTATATGTATGTTTGATTTTGAAATTTTGGGATTTCACAGGTATATGTTTACGAATGGCCTCACAAGTTTGCATGAACAATTTGTGCCGGGCGTCATCGTCCTCGACCGATTGGAAAAAAGGCTGGCCCCTGCGATCCGGTGAATTTGCCAATCTTTGTGATAAGTGCGGGTAATTCAGATCTCTGTCTAAATGTTTTTGAACTTTGAAATTTTATTTACTTCGCTTATTTTGGGGTCAGAAGCTGCTACTTAGGTGCATAGAATCCATAGTTTACGTTGTTTATTTGAGTTTTTAATTTCTATCTTTTATTTTGCTTTATTTGAATCTTTGTGTTCTATGTAGCTTGTTTATTTGCGATACTTTGAATACCCTATAACAAAAAACAAATATGAAAACAACATAGTTCAGATTGAAATGACGCAGCTAACGTCATTGTTTACACCTTAATTTCAAAAAACATGAGGTAAAGATAGGTTGGCGATACATCGCCCGGATATGTCAAAGGGTTGTGGCATACAGACAAAAACGACTACCATATTATGGAGATGTGATGAAGAGTTTCTCACGGAAAATTATCAAGCGTGTTATGGTCGTTAGGTATAAAAGATTTTTCATATGTGGGTGGTGATGTCGAAAAAAGCGGCTGGCTTCTATTGTCAAACTTGTTAGCTTCCCCTCTTCTAGTTTTGCATTCTTGCAGGTCGTAGACACATGTTGAATTGATAATAATTCTAAACTTGGTGACTACTTCGACTAATCGAAGTTGCCCAACTTTGACCAAAAGCCCAAAGGCAAACGTTCCATTAACCAGGCCATAAAAGTCATGACGTCTGTAATGATAATTATTTAGACTAACAAATCGTACCACACCATTATTATCACGTCTTATCAATATCTTATAAAAAAAATTAAAAAAAAAATAAATCTTACTTCTTCACATGAGATAGTTATTATACTGCACTTGATTAGTAATTATTGAATTAAACGAAATTCAGCTATCCGTAACACGGCAAAAAATAATGACATTGTGTCATCATTATAGTTAATATTTTCTCTCAAAAAAGAGAAAGAGAAAGAGAAAGAGACATAGAAGACGGAAGAGGCCAAGAGAGAGAGAGAGAGCCCAATAATGTACAGGCGATCATCGACGGCCCGAGGGCGAGCCATAGGTAGTTAATGAGTCAATAAAATTGGGGTAATAATAGAAATATATAATCTATCAGATTATACTGTAAAATAAGTGGGTTTACAAGTGCTGTCCTATGGCTTTTGGGCTTTTATAATGGTCCAATAGAGATTTAGACTTTTGGGCTTTTATAACCAAAGTCTAAAGAATTTTTTCAAGCCCAAAAATTTGGACCGAGGGCATAAAGGCCCAAACAAATACATTAGCCTCTCCTTTCTCACGCCTCTGTACTCTCTTCACTCTCGCCCATCCGAACGGTCATAGATCTGGAAAACAATGGCGTCAAGCGATCAAACAGTGTTGTTGCGATTTACATTACGACGAGCGTGTCAGCTAAGGTTCACCCTTTGGTGATCTTCAACATCTGCTACTGCTAGTGCTATGTGAGATCACTTTATTTGTCAAGCATCAAAAGAACGCAGCTCAGCTTAGCAGATAAGTTGAAAACGGCTACTCAGATTTTGCAGCTGTTTCTATCATCTCTTTTCAAGGGGGAATTAATGACCAATTTTATTAAGTATTGACATAATTTTTATACAAAAAAAGATGTTTTTATTTATTTTTATTATTATAATCATTAAGTTAACTTTCGCTTTATAAAAAAAATATGAACATTAAATCGATTGAGGGATAATGGAATATTGAACTTAAATCTTAGCATTAAATTTATTTATTAACGGGTTATATGAGTTCAAACGAACAGGACATAAAAATAAACAAATCGGATCAATACGATATACAAAGTTGAGTTATAATTGATTAATCCTCGACGAGAATCCATATAATTACACAACATGATTGCCACCCATGCATGTAACTATTGTACAAGTAGGGCCGGTTCAGGTCACTGAACTTCAATTCAACTGATTGCACTTCTGATTGTTTGTCAGGCAACATGATTGGGCATTCGATCCGAAGAAAGAATGCACATTGCTTCCCCTAAAACCCTGATAATGGTGTCTCGATAGTGGGTGTTTTAAGAACTTCCACTACTCAGAGTTCTGACAAACCTAGTGGAGACAACAAAATAAAATTACCGAAATTGTTGGGCGGCCTATATTTCACGCGTGCCTCTCTCTCTCTCTCTCTCTCTCTCTCATACATACACAGACAGACAGACCACTATGGTAGACTTCTCGATACTCACTGAAAAACATATCCTGTGTTTGTGCATGTCGGAGGTGTGATCGAAACACCCCCACTTTCACTTTCTCGTTGAGATAAAGAAGAGGAGAAAAGATGTGTCAGGATCTTCTTGGACCATTGGAAAGTACCAAGTAGATCCAACGGATGGCACTTTCACCAATCTAACCTTTCGATACTTCCTATAACCAACTGCTTTACCATTTAAAACTAAAATTTTCCACCAACATACGCTTTTTTTTAAATAACGTTAGCCCCTTGTTTGGATAATTTGAATGATGCTTTGGGCCGGAGGCAGCAGGGTGGTGATTATAATGGTGGTAATTGGGGATGTATTGAGGGATTAGATTAGATTAGAATAGATTTTGGGAGACAGATCTTTTAGAGAAGTTCTTAGGAGAGTTGTGGGGAGAAAAAAAATTGAAGAAAGAGACAACTCTATATAGTTAGCAAGAACCAGCTATCTAGCCTAGTAGGGTGGAATTAGCTTAGTCTCTCGTTTGTTAGAATATGGTCCTTAATAAAGCCTAAAACAAAACATGATTCATATACCGAATCTTAAAATGTCCAGGACTATACCCAGTTGAGTTCATGCAATCGTCAAAAGTTTTGATGAAATATCAATTAAAACACACGTTTGAGACATTTTTATTAAAAGAAAAAAGAAACATGCCTAAGAGTTAGGTAGAACGCATCAAACAATAACGCCAAGAGCTAACAGACATATAAACTCTATAAATGTAAGAGCAACATTCTTGGGAATTGTAGAAAGCACGCACAACAAATCGAACCTGAATAAAGAATCACAAACTGTATCAAAACAAGGGGTTCCGACCGGCAAAGAGTGGGATAAGAATAAACAAAGGACTAGAGTGAAAAGAACAGCTTAGACTGTTACACAAAGTAGGGAAAGATAACCTATTGATCAATACGATCCTCAGCTGTCAGGGAATTATAAAAGAATAACGTTATTGAGACCTAAAAATTTAATCTAATTTATTGATCTAATGATGTAATTTTATTGTAACTATTAGATGAATACTAAGTTCAATATTTGATGAGACCCACAATCAATTTAGGTCAATAAAAAAAATCTCAATAGTATGTTCTATCTCCTTATAAAAAGCTTCACGAGACAGAGAGAGAGCTGTACGAAGGACATACTGTAGCAAATGCTTCATAAACTAAGTATTGTTAGCATAAAAACCCAATTTGTCAAGGTAGTTCAAATAGAAAGAGTTAGGGTTTATTATTGCGGGTCTTGAATTTGATAGCCGGACCTAATTTAAAGACTTAATACAACGTTGTCGTCTTTGGATTGACCGTAGACTTCATTAATTGTTGTGACTTGCTATTAATCTAATGATCACTATATATTAGGTTTTGAAATTAAGTCCAATAGCATTTTTCGTTTAAAAGTAGATACTAAACACGATATAAAAGTAATTATGAGCCAACTAGCCAATAAAATTTATATTTAGCAGCCAGAGACAGAAGCTTGACGACATCAAAAATGCCAAAGTTGGTCCTTTCTAGTTGGTCATGTGCTTGCCTCTCTCCTCTCAAATCTTAATTTGGTGGCTTTAGTGTCGTCTAGCTTATGTTTCCACACCCTCAAAAGAAGGCCTAAACCCTATTTTTTTTTTTGACTGAAGAGGACGCATGGGTCAACTAAACTCAGTATCTATGTCAGTAATGGCGATCACAACCTTCCAGCTAAGATCAGACAATGTGAACTTTGACTTTCACCACCATTGATCTTCTTTGCCAGTAAACATTAATAATTTTTAGCAGACTATAATATTTTATGGGAAAAGCTTGGATTACTAGTATGTCTTAACAGGTTTGTCCCCATTACACCAACCTACTTAATTATAATCAGCACGACAAAATTAAACTATGTCACAAGTTTATAAGTGCACTATCAACTCAAGATTCTTGTACACTATTTAAATACCTACTACTCTGATATTGCCTCATAATTGAACCAAGTAGATATCAAAACACATCAGATTTTAGTTGATTTGAATCTGAATTTAATCTAAATACTTTTACTTGAATCAGATCTGATAACTTCCTGGTGCGTGCCAATAATTCAAGTGGTGATTTGGCATCGTGAGCAGAAGTCGATAGAGGAAAGTGGCAGCCGAGACCAGCTCCTTCGCTGGCCGGCAGTTGAGAGAAGAGAGCAAAACTCCATTAGTATACTGAATTCATTCATTATAGTTTTTTGTGATCCCATATATGTATCTTTATAGAAAGGGGTAATGGGTGTTTAGGATGCTAAGCAAAGATGTGTGGATTAGTTACCTACTAAAAAATTGAAAAGCTTTTTTTTTTTTGATATTTAAAAATTGAAAAATCTGATCCTATGCAAACAATCATTAAAAATGTAGTTTGCCAAATTAAACTTCGATTTCAACTCAATTTCATCAAATATTACTTAGTGTTATCAGATATTTTTGTATATCTTCATATTGGATGGCTACAAGATAGGACATTAACACATATACAACTCTGAACTGATGAAATGTAATAAAATGAATTCGAATTCGATTTTAAATAATTAGACAAAAATACTCGTTCAAATCAAATTAATCGAATTCAAACTTAGATTGGATACGAATGTATGACAGCCTCGAAACCAAGACTCATGCACCCACTTAAAGTTTTTAATGCAAAAGTTGAGAAGTTACCTCTTTGTCTGCTCGCCGAACGAAGCTTTGAACAGTGGCAGCTTTTGTGCATGTCTATCTCTCTCTACACAAAAAACCAAGCAAAAACAATGCGATCAAAATCCTCAAAGTTCTATCTCCCACTCCCTAAAATCAGAGCAGAGTGACATAAACAAAAGGCTTATTCTCCTGCACTTACACCTCAAATTAAACAAATCAAAAGACAGTCACACCAACATTATAAACAAATCATCTTATCTTCCTATATAAATGCACACGTACTTAAAACTCTTTCTGAGTTCAGAAGCTCAGAACTAAAGATCAGTGTTTCAGAAACTAGTCATACAAGTTGTTCCTTTCTTTGTAATGGAAGAGGGAATGTCAGGCTTTTGTATTAAACCACGCGGTAGTGGTGGTGGGGGTGGTGGCACCAAGTGTGGAAGGTGGAATCCAACCACTGAACAGGTTAAAGTTCTGACTGATCTGTTCAGGTCTGGACTCCGAACCCCTAGTACTGATCAGATCCAAAAGATCTCTTCGCAGCTGAGCTTTTATGGTAAGATCGAGAGCAAGAATGTCTTTTACTGGTTTCAAAACCATAAAGCTAGGGAAAGACAGAAACGTCGCAGGGTTTTGGTTGATGAACGAAATGAGATACACCGAGAAGACAAAGTTGCCACAGCAAAACGTAAGTCAACAATTTAAAACAACACTTCAAATACTTTCTTGAGCATTTTCCTTCACTTTCTTTCATTTACCAAGAACCAAACAAGGAGGTTCGGCAATAAAATGGTAAAAAAAGTATATGTCTAAGAATATAATTAGTATATACTTTTTTTTTTCTTTTGCAGATTTTGGAGAGATAAATCAGGTTTCGGAGCCTGAAAGAGTGGTTGAGACCTTGCAACTCTTTCCATTGAACTCATTCAGCGAATTGGAATCAGAGAAGCTGAGGTTTTTTGCGAAGGAAGGAAAGGAGAATACGTCGTTTTCTTATAGTTTTGGGGCCGATATGAATCATCCACCATTGGATCTGCGTTTGAGTTTCCTGTAAACAATGCTTAGAAGGAATCTTAATATAATTCTCTAACATTTCATGTTATGATTCGAAGATCAGCTCTTAGGTTAGCAAGATAAAAAAAGAAGAAGAAGAAAAAATATTAGAACTTGTATAAAGTGACGGAGAAAGATTCTGTAGTGAGTTTGTCCAATGCACGTAGCTCTAGATATTGAAACTCTATAAA